AAATGGATCCGGCCAATGCCATTACTTATTACTCTTACTACACATACATTGCAATCAACTCAAATCATCTGCAAGTGAATCAATGCAGTCCCTCCTGCATCAACCACATTCATCCATACATCCAGAACCAATGCAAATCAACTCGCCACTTATGATCGGCGGGGCCCCAAATGATCTTAAAATAGCTCCCCCCTCCAGATACACCTGCATATAAAGATCCATCTCCCTCCCTTCCCCTCTACCTTCAACATTTTCCTGAATAGTAGTATATCATCACCCAGAGTCAACTCCACAATTCTATTCTCAATAAACCCACCAAAATGAAACTCCTCTACCTCGCCACCACCCTCACCTCCCTCATCGCAACCGTCTCCGCCTCCGCCTCCCTACCATCCACATACACCCTCGTCGCAGACGGAGGCTGGACAGTCGTTACTGATGGAAGTATGTATACCACCAGCCCAATCACCCACATTACTACACAAATCACATACTAAATATCAATTTGTAATAGCACACTTATACATCGGAACCGGCGACATAAAACACTACCCCATTCTCATCCGTACGCCTCTCCCATCCCCTTCCCCAACCCCCCAATCACACACTAACCCAAACTCTATCTATAATACAGTAAAAGGCGGCTCCAACAACACCATGATCACCGGCCACAAGCAATACGACACCACTACAGGCATTCAACATCTCTACGTCAAAGAGGACGAAACAGCACCGATTGCCCTGACTGAGCCGAATGGCGCTGCTCCCGCCGGGGCAAGCGTGACTGGGTTCGATGTGGACGAAGGGAATTATCTGCTTCTTGATGGGGTGGAAGCGTGGGGTGTGGAGCCGAGTGAGGGGCAGATTAGGAGGATTTATTGGCTTGGTGGGGAGGATGTTCGTGAGGATTATAAGGGGATTGGGTTGTGGGTTAAGGAGTGTAGGGGGTGTTAAGATTGTTGATCTGGTGTGGGATGGATGGTAATGTATGTATGTAATTTAATCTGATATCAGACCGTCATGAATCGTGAACATCGGCTAGTAAACGTAAACAAAATCCTCGTTCTTCCCATCCGTCAAATCCAATAGTCCATTTGCCCCTACATGCGCCTGTCCCTCCTCGCCGTTTGCTTCCAGCGTCTGCTCGATCGCCATCATTCGATCGCTCTGCATCGACACATCCACTACCTTGGCTGGCTTGCCGTTCCGTACGCGCCGCTTCTCTTGCATCTTGTTCAGTACCCATAGATCGGCCCACTGGAGCAGGAACACTGCGATCAAGGCGACGAAGATCCCCACGCATGCCCGCAATCCGGGCTTGTATGCTGGCGCATCTTTCTCGTTGAATAGCAGAGGACCGATGATGTTTCCTGCCGATACGGCAGCATTGTATAAGGACATGTTGGCGGATTTCTTCGTCGTGCCGGCTGTGTTTGCGACAATCCAGCTGACTATTAGAGGGTTCCCGCCGAATAAAAAGGCAATGAGGTAGTATCCTGCCATGAGGGCGCCGTTGGTGGAGCTGTTCCGCGGCACGGCATATAGGATGGCTAGGCCCGCAACGACAGGGAGCATTAGCACCGCCAGGATGATGCCCTTCAGACGCGCCTTTTGGGCGAGGTAGCTGGCCACTAGGATGACGATGACTTGCACGGCGCCGAAGGGCATGTTCAGCAGGGTAGTGGTGTATGTGTCGTAGCCGAGACCTTGGAGGATTAACGGCCCGAAGACGTTCGACACGGAGGCACCGATGTTCAGGAGGAGGGCCATGCTGATCCACAGGTAGGTTTTGGGCTCGAGGACAGCTTCATAGACGTGGCCGAGCTTGAATTCGCGTGATCCCGTGCCCGTCTGGTTTGCTCGCAGACGTTCCATCGCCTGGAGCTTCTCTTCTTCGGTGAGGAAGCGCGCCGACGGGATGTCGTTGTCGAGGCGCCAGTAGACGAATGGGCTGGAGATGACGGTGATCAGACCGACAACGAGAAAGATGCTAGTGAGGTTAGTTTGCGGATAGTTATCTAGTGGGTGGAAGGGGGCTCACATTTGCCACTCTTTCATTACTCCCGACTTGATGTGTCCGAGGCCGAATGATAGCACCGCTGCGATGATGGTCGCCACGCCGTTCGTGCCATACCATGCCGCTACGCGGATTGGTTGCTCAGCACGACGATACCACTGGCTGGTGAGGAGACTAAATAGTGGGAGGCAGCCAGCCTCGAACAGGCCGAGGAAGAAGCGGGTGGCCATTAGCCCGCCAAAGTTGCTGCATGCTGCCATGCAGGTCTGCGCGATGCCCCATCCAAGCACTAATGTAGGCATCAGGATGCGAGGCGGAACAGTCACGATCAGCCAGGAGGAGAAGGGCTGCCATGCGAGCTGCGCGATCGGGGCGATTGAACCGACCAGCGAGTACTGGTTCCCGGTGAGATGAGTGTCCTCTTCCAGGCCATATGTCGCACCAAAGCCTAACACTGACTTGTCAAGAATCTGCAGGAAGTACACCCAGATCAATATCACTAGGATCGTTCGATCTGTTTTGCGAGCGATCCGCTTGCTATCCTCCTCTGTCACCAGGACTGGAGTATGCGGAAGCCCATCGATAGTAGTTGGTTTGGCCACGTCCACACCTTCATCGTGAATCACGGCTGGCTTGTCAGGCTCCATTTCAGGAAGATGTTTGATTGTTGGCTAGAAAGTGTTCAAAGCAGGTTGAGCAAGGCAGCTCTCCAATATAATAACCCGTTCCTCAACCAACACCCCCACGCTTTCCGCTTGGCCAACCCGCATGTGTTTTAAGCTTCAAGCTCGAGACTAACGGGGCGACACTAAAACACGGGGTAGCGGCCATCCCCCGCAATTGATCCCCGCAAAGTGACCCCCACGTTTGATGGGGATGGCACATGCCGAGGACTGCATTCAATCCTGGGCCGGGGAGAACAACATGCCATCACCGCAAAGCCGTGCCGGTCTAGGTTTAGAGGTTAGCCATGACTGGCGGTCATCTGTCCATGGCGTAACTCAAAAGTGAGGCGACGCGCCGGCTGCGAGTGTAACTGGCCAGTCAATACCCGATCCCTGCACGCAAATTAGCCGTATTGCCTTGATGTGTTGACATCATCCCGCTATCGCGCCGTGGAAGTCGTCCATCGGATACGAATCGGGTTGAACCGCTCCCAGAAGCTGAGGAGCCAAGCGCGGCCAGCTCAGCTTTGCCTACAGCTCTCGTGGGGGTCAGATAAGACCAGATACTAAACTAGAAGAGTCGCCACGCATGATATACTGCTCATGACGTCGCAGCATTTCCCGTATCTCATACAAGCCCCCTTCTCCAGCTGCGTTGATAAGGTTCTCATTGGCATACTCTAGTCGATATTCCGTAGCTTCCTGTCCGCCTATTCGCCATTCAGGCAGCTTGCTGGAACGTCGGATGCCATGCACCACCGCTTCCACCGTCCGTGCGTCCCAAATCCCATCGCGGTGTGGCAGCCTTTTGTGTCGCAGTAGTGAGAGTGCAGTGTCTACTATACTGGGAAGATTGCTTTTCATACAGATATAGTAAAGCGCTGCGACGAGCTGGGTACTCGATGTGAACGATCTCTGCGCAATGGTGCCCTGTGTGGAGGAATAACCCGACATACTTTCCAAAATGGCCGATATATCTTGTAAGCATTTCCGCAGTGAGTCACTGTTTGTAAACTGCAGGGACGGAACATCCTCAGCCACGATAGTGCGGAACATCCGAGCTTGCAGTCGAAGGAGCAGACAATTTGCCGTGCTCGGGCCAGAAAGGTGGGTCGAATACGCGCTCACAGTCTTTATATATCTCGTCAATTGGTCATATAAGTGATGTCGCTCTACAAGGATGTCGGCTGGTAGAAGCTGCAGGACTTTCTTCTTATATGGGTAGGAAGACGCAAGATGGTGCAACATCCAATTTTGCAACTTGGTGAGTGCCATTTGTGCATCCGCCAGGGTGGAGCTGTCTAGGATGAGCGGGACAAGCCCGGACTGTTCTAATGGCGAGACCAGAGACAATATGGGCCGCCGGCTTGGATTGTATGTGCTTGCTTGAATGTCCAGGCTGGCGAACAATACTGTTAAACGTGGAAGAATGGCATCTGTGGCATTCTGCACGGGCGCGGTAGCCTGACTCCGTTTCAGCAGAATTAGCCCTTGATCGAGGTGTCGAATCGCCTGTACCGCATTGCCTAGAAGAGCCTCAAAGGTGTAAAACACCACGCTGCAGATCAAAGCAACTTCAGTTGATGCGTCCGGCGAGCAAAGATGCATCCTTAGCTGTTTGTGGGATCTGGCGATTAGTTGCAGATGCTGCAGCGATGGACGGTCGGACTCTGGCCTGGCATCATCTTTGAACTTATAGTCCCGATATATAGCACTCAGTGTGACAAGTGCGTTGCGAATCACAGGTTGATGGTGACATCTTTGCAACACGAGTCGACTCCAGAAGTCCGCGTCGGAGAAGCTCGAAAGACTCAAAGCGGCCTCGACGCAGTAGAAATGGAGGAGCTGGCGATCCAATCTACTGCCTGGAACTTTGAACGGAATATCGTATGCTTTGATTGTATCCACAACATTGGTAGATTCAAGCGATGTGTATCCCCCACATGTGCGATTTGATCGCACGCACCGTATACAACGAGGTTTGGTTTCGTCACATTTGATGCGACGGGTCCTGATGGGTTAGACACATGTCCGATGCAAAGTATGTTTACTTACTTGCAGGTAATACATCCCGTGCGGGACTTTGGGGTGCTTTTTCTGGTCGCTTTCATGATGGTCGAGGATTCGTGTTCTGTTCAGGCTTGATGGAGTGCGAAATGGCATCCCGATCGGAGTCAGCACTAACCAGACTGGGAAGGTGAAATTGCTGCCTGCAGGCATCATATCATTCACAGCTAGCCTCTTCACTTGTTTTCATATACTATAATATTAATTTGATATTCACATCCTTCGTTTGGTCCGGAATTTCAGTGGTGTACAGGGTATTCACCATCCCCAAATATGGAAGTGCATCATATAACGATACCCTATCCGCTTTGCACCTTCCATTGTGGCAAACTGACGGATTCTCCCTGTCGAGAAAGAATCGCTCGAATATCACGGCAAGAAAAAGTTCGTTCACAACACAGCATCGATTGATTCATTCTTCCTCGTACTTACGGCACGACTGTCAACATGCCTCCTTTCCCATTATTATTCCATTCTCCTAACAATTGGACATCGAACCAACTTGAGGATTTGAGACTAGTACGGCATTTTAACGCCTCTCTCGACGAAATACTTGGAGATGATTATCTTCCCAAGGATGGAGATGAAGGTTGGACTTGTACACTTTCGTTCATAGTTGTCTTGGAGATGCTCACATATGGCAGAATTCGAATCGCTCGCCATGGAATTTGCCGAACCGACAGAAAACGAGTTAAAGAATCTTTGGCGAACAGCAACACGTGCCCGATACAGGCGCAACATTTTCCTGCCAGTTTTTCGACCTCTATGCGAGATGCTCAATTCCGATGTTTTCTTCGACGCGTCCAAGCAAGCCGTATTTAGCTTCATGGAGATCATCTTGCGCCACGTGCACCTGGACAAACCTCTGTAAGTAACTGGTTACTCTCGCCTCCACCTGGTGAAACTAAGATGATCAAGGCAATCTTCACGTATCCATACCATGAGCTTTGAAGTCACAGGTATTCGAGGCGAAGTTGAGTGTGAAGGGGTGCTACTCGATTGTTCTATGCCACATTCTCCATTGGTAGTATTTTCGGTCAGTCTCGCTCCGTCCTAAGCGTGCGACATGCACTGACACGTCTTGACAGGTTGCCAAAGATGGTGACTACAACTTCAAAGGCCAAGTAGCACAGTTGTTACTGCAAAAGGTGGTGGCATACCAAAGGAACCTGTGTCGTAGAGCCTTTGTTATCTTTATGGATAGCACAAATCTTCAGCTTACTATGGCAGACCCACCCCGCGAATACTTAGACGCTCTCTTGCATGGAGAGCGCCCAGACAAGCGCCTCCATCTATATCACTCGGAGTTTTACAATCTTTGCAATCGCCGTCGACGGAAGGAGGCATTGAGGGTTATGCTCGGTCTTGTCAGGCTACTTGATGCAGATGGACTGACAAGAAGGTTGCCTTGAGGTTTTCCTTCCTTAGTCTCGATGCCGAAGGTAATAATTGTTATTCTAGTCTGGATTAGTGTGTTTAGGAATTCACCTCTTGCTTGATCATATAATCCACACGTTCTGGCGTATTTCCCTGACAGGAGACTAACCCGACCGCTATCAGCCACCTATGCCCACCCAGTGGCGGAAATTCAAGTAGTTTTTTTGGGCAAGATTATGTGGAGAAGTGCAAAGTACAAATGCATTCAACTCTCTTTGGTATGCGGTAAAGTCGGCAATGATTGTCCAGGCATCATGCGCCAACTTTGCCCGATGGCGCTAAGCCCTGCCATCGACAGCACTCTGACTCGTATGGTAAGGTCCTTCTGATGTGACATAATATGGCCGACGAACTAAATAAATACGTTTCCCTGACCCCGCAACCATGGCTTTCTTCCAAACTTTCTGGTCTCCTTCAGTCTTACCAAGCGTTCCCCTGAGCAAGATTCCCAGTTCCTCTTTCAACCAAACTTTTATGTGTACCATGTGTCCCAAATCTAATTACACAACCCCAAAATGGTGGAAAGAGGCGGTGGTGTATCAAGTGTATCCCGCAAGCTTCAACTGTGGTAAACCTACAAGCAAAACCAATGGATGGGGTGACGTGACCGGTATTATTGATAAGGTTCCTTATTTGAAGAGCCTGGGTGTTGATATTGTATGGCTCAGTCCGAGTGAGTTGAATCAGTTCTGTCTTGAGCGCAGCTATCATATGAAGAACAAATGCCTGACATTTTCTCATACAGTCTATACGTCCCCACATGTCGACATGGGCTACGATATCGCAGACTACAAATCCATCGATCCGCGGTATGGTACCTTATCGGACGTTGACCTGTTGGTAAAGGCGTTGAGGGATCATGCTATGAATCTCATGATGGATCTTGTGGTTAATCATACGTCCGATCAGCACTCTTGGTTTATTGAGTCTGCGAGCTCCAAAGACTCCCCTAAGCGTGATTGGTATATTTGGAGGCCGGCCAAGGGATTCGACAATGACGGGAACCCAATCCCTCCGAACAACTGGGCGCAGATTTTGGGCGATGCACTCAGTGCTTGGACTTGGCATGAGGAAACTCAAGAGTTTTATTTGACTTTGCACACGTCTGCGCAAGTCGAGCTCAATTGGGAGAATCCAGTGGTCGTTGCTGCGGTTTATGATGTGAGTCTCGCTGGGGTCCAGGGCTCGATTAATCTTCAAGACCTGCGTCTTTGAGCGAGTGGTGTTACTGATCGGTAATACAGGTCATGGAGTTTTGGCTGCGTCGTGGGGTTTGCGGGTTCCGCATGGATGTCATCAACCTCATTTCAAAGGACCAGTCTTTCCCAGATGCCCCTATCATTGATCCAGCCTCTAAATACCAGCCTGGCGAGCATTTCTACACAAACGGGCCAAGATTCCACGAATTTATGCACGGCATCTACGACAATGTATTATCCAAGTACGACACCATCACTGTGGGAGAAACGCCATACGTCACCGACATCGAGGAAATCATCAAGACGGTGGGCTCCACAGCAAAAGAGCTTAATATGGCGTTCAACTTCGATCACATGGAAATTGAAGATATAAAAACCAAGGGAGATTCCAAGTGGAGCCTGCGCGACTGGAAGTTGACCGAGTTGAAAGGCATTTTGTCCGGATGGCAGAAACGAATGAAAGAGTGGGACGGCTGGAACGCCATCTTCCTGGAATGCCACGATCAGGCGCGGTCAGTATCGCGATACACCAATGATTCGGATGAGTTCAGAGAGAGTGGAGCCAAGCTCCTAGCGCTTCTGGAGACAACGCTAGGTGGGACCATGTTCCTTTATCAGGGCCAGGAGATTGGTATGCGCAATTTTCCCCTCGAGTGGGATCCAGACACCGAGTACAAGGATGTTGAGTCGGTCAACTTCTGGAACAAATCCAAAGAGCTCTACCCTGTTGGGACCGAAGGCCTGGCTAAGGCTAGGACGCTCTTGCAGAGAAAGGCGAGAGACCACGCCCGCACCCCGATGCAATGGAGTGCTGCCCCGCATGCAGGCTTCACAGTCCCTGATGCAACACCTTGGATGAGAGTAAATGATGATTATAAGACTGTTAATGTGGAGACACAGATGTCTTTTCCCAGCAAAGGTGAAATATCCGTTTGGCAGTACTGGCAGCAGGCGATACAGCATCGAAAGCTATACAAGGATGCGTTCGTTTACGGCGGCTTTGAAGATCTGGACTATCATAACGAAAAGGTCTTCGCGTACTTGAGGACTAGTGCAGATGGAAAAGAGAGCTGGCTTGTTGCCATGAACTGGACAGCGTCTGCAGTCGAATGGACGGTTCCTTCCGACATCCACGTCACACACTGGGTCTCATCAACGCTCCAGACTGCCCCGCCCGTGGCAAACAAGACAGCGATCACGCTCCGCGCCTTTGAAGGGGTTCTTGGGTGTTGTGATTAGCATGTTGCATGGTATCACTGCTAGTGTTACGTTGTGTCGAGATCTGTTGACTTTGGCCGCCCACAAATTACGGTTTCACGCTAGTCCTCTTTGGCAAGTTAATAGCCGCGCTCCAGGTATAGGGCAAAGGATCAACGCCTGACGATCAGTTATTCTTATCTTGCTACAAGGCCATCAGTGGGTACAATAACAGTAATAGGAAAACTGTAATCATTGCCTGGAAGTCCAGCTTATGTACATGAAATGACGCAACGACGGTAAGACCAAGCAATGCCATCCTTCTTGTCCGAACCAGGCAAATTGTTTATCCTCCTTTATTCGAGGACACACTCTATAATCACCTGTTCAGCTCTAGTCTTATCAGTAGAATATCAAGCTAATTACCCTTCTGGTACATCAGTATCCTGTCATACTGCATCAAACATCTGCAGCTGAGACAACACATTATCTAAACGCCACAGCCCCTCATCGCCAGCCCTATAAGTCACACAACGACCAGGCTTAGATCCCATTGACTAAATCCTGTCCATAGGCACCATCAGAAACAGCTATTCAACTGTTATTCTACACATTTAGCGACCACTACGATGGAACCTTCAACAGAAAAGAACCTTGCTCTAATCGAAACCGCCAAGTCCCTAGCGAACACGCATTGGTGCGAGCAATATGAACGTATGATATCAGGGATGCTGTAAGCCTCGAGCAACAATACCTGCAAACACAGTGCCCTGGGATCTAATTCACACATTAGATACGACCCACTCGCCCCAGAACTCATGCAAAGCCGTTACCGAGCCCGCAAGCTAATGTCGAAATACAATACACCCATTCCTGATGACATATCATTCGAAGATCTTACACAGCAGCGCGAGAATCTGCTAAAGCAGCTACTGGGACAAGTTGGCAAGAGCGCTTTCATTGAGCCACCGCTGATGGTCGATTACGGGTGCAATATCAAAATTGGAGACGGCTTTTATGCTAATTTTAAGTATGCTGTCTCGACCCCCTTACTCTCCTTATTTGCTGACCCTTGAAGCACCACAATCCTCGACTGCTCCCTAATCATCATCGGCGATCGTGTGGCCTTCGGCCCCAATGTGAGCATTCTGGCTGCGACGCATGAGACCAGTGTCGAGTCTCGGAGAAACGGAGTCGAATTTGCGAAAGAGGTGGTTATCGGTGACGACTGCTGGATTGGAGCTGGTGTTTCGATCTTGGCGGGGGTTCATATCGGTAAAGGTTGTACGATTGGGGCTGGGGCTGTCGTCACCAAGAATATTCCTCCTTTTAGTGTTGCTGTGGGATCCCCGGCTCGGGTCGTTAAGCAGGTGGAGCCTGTGAAATAAAAGGATGGAGGGTTGAGTTCCTCGGTAGTATCTAGCCGGATTCGTATAAGGTTACATCTAGGTGATCGGCATATATTTGTTTCCACTCCCTTTTGATTTGGAGAAGTTATCCTTCAGAGGGTGTTACTGATGGTTATGTTGAGCCTGGTGATCAACGAAGTACTTGTTCATTGAGGTGTATAAACTAGTAATATTACAATAGAAGCGATGGCGAGAAAGAAAATCAGAAAGAATATAACAAATGTCGCATACATCGACGAATTGAAAAGAAGAGATAAAAAGTCGTAAACACGGATTGGTAGATGATGAAGATTATCTCAAGGTCACATTCGCGCAAATGCGTCAATGTTATCGTCCCAGGTGACTTGACCTCCTAACACGCGTATTGGCATTGTTCTCAAACCTTAGTATGCCACAAGGGTGGCAAACCAATCCTCAAAAAGCTTGACCTTCTTGCTCCAGGCAATCGGAATCTGACCCCATCCATCGCGGACATGCTGTACCAGCATGGAGGTGTTTACTGCAGGCCACTCGGAAGCACCTTCAGCCTGGGTGTTGGGGTTTCTGGTCTTGATAAAGCTGGCCCAGTAGTGGTTCATATTCTTGGCGATGGCGTAATCATCGGCAGTCCAGGGTTTGTCGGTGGCATAAAGATTGTTCAATACATAGTTGATTTCCGACTCGTGACAAGCGCCAGAGCTCTGGCCAGGGGGAGCGTGGTCCCAGAAGTTGTTCCAAACCGGGCTGCTCTTCTTGGTGTACCACATCTGGGTCCAGAGCCAGGTGCCCACCTTGGAGCGGTCGGTGAACATAGAGTTGTATGCGCCTGAAGCGGTCGTCGAGTCATTGGCCGGATAGAGATCAAAGAACCGCTCAACCCACTCCCCACTGTAGGTTTCGTTGAGATCCTCAAGGTACTCCGCGAGTGAGATGTCGAGGCCGTAGGTAGCGCCATTCTCGTCCTTGTTGTTACCGGTGATGACGGGGACGTCGTGAGCAAGGCCCTTCTTCAGGATGTTGAGGTAGGTATCCGGCATGGCGTAATAATCAAGGACTGCCTCGAACATGATGGTATCTTCGCGAGTGGACCCAGTCGCTCCGTCAATCAATGCCTCCATGCTGAGGTTGCGGGCTTCAGCGATACTGGACACTCCCAGATTTGAGAGGTAGGTATTGCCATCATCCAGCGCA